TTTCTTAGCCTGGCTAAAACGAGGAGCAGCCTCTCTTTGTGGTGTGGCTGCTGCCAAGGCATGAAGCCACATATGGAAATTAAATATATAATTTTCAAACGTCAGCATAGGTCAAGGTTTTGTTTAAGAGTGGGCCAAAGGCACCGCCTGGTTTAGTTACTGCTTTTTTTAACCCCATGATGTGATGGAGCACTGCTAAGCAATTGTTGATCACATTGCTTCCTTGGGATCTGCTGATGAGAGCGCTCCTAGGTGGTGAGGAAGATTAAAGGCTTGTCTGCAGAGGGTGCAGAGCGCTATGCACCGCAGCGTGAGTTTGCAGCTCATCAGCCGCTTCCTCGGTGTGGGGCAGCTCTCGGGATGTGGTAAGCTGCCCTGCACAAAGGTGACAGAAGCATCCTCACAGGGGACTGATGGGGAGCAGGTGCTGCGCCGTACGCTCTGCTCTGCCCCTTGCACGCTGCCTTCCCCTGCGTGGGAAGCCGGGCGCTGCAAGCGAAGCAGGGAGGGGTTGGCAAAGGCTGAAAGAGTGCGGCAGGTTGGACCCGTGCGGCAGAGCTCGGCGTTAAAGCTGGGCAGGTACGGTGCGGCGGATGAAATGACCAACACCAAGATGTGTTCAGGCATCAGCACTTTATTGAAGCTTTGCACTGCTTATATCTATCTCCTTTCTTCCTCCCCACGCCCCAGGCATGCGGCACTCTTTCACTTTTGATTCGTTACCGCTTATCGCACACCCTGAAAGCACTCGCCGAAACAACTGACAGGACTGGATAATTCCACTTGTCCACGAGCCATTCTTTTGCTTCTGACTGGCTAATGATTACAACACACAATCATCCCTTATCTTGTCTCATACACATCCTTGCTTGTTATTCTCCTTTGTTTTATTTTCACTCAAGGTCAGGAATTAATTGCTCAAGGCTGAAGCCGCCTGCAGCTTCGGCTCTTAAAACACCAACAGTACAGTGGGGATCAAGGTTGAAAAAATAAGTTTAAAATCCTCCACAGCAGTTGTATGCCCTTCAAAATCAGGTCCTTGAGTAATCAAGTTTCCCTGGCCGTGGCAAACGGAGAGTTGGGGCTCCAAACCCTTTGTGTGGACTCCCTCAATGGACGAGGGAGGCAGAGGTACTGGCTGAAAGTGGATCCTGTTACTTGGCTGCAGGCAGGAACCAACAACAGGAGTTGGTAAATTCCATCTGTCCACGGAGAAATGTGGGCACCACGCTGTAATTTTGGGCCAAATTTGGGACTTGTGCCCTGAAGGCTGTTGTCTAATTCTAAATATGTCTAGACTTCTGTTAACTTTTTGTAGGTCTAAGATCTGTGTATCTGTGTATTTTACCCTAGATGAGCACTTGCTACTATTAGGACTTGGGGTTTCATTTGGCAGAGGTCCATTTTCCCTGCCCCATCTCCAGATCTGCTGGATGTCCTACAAGCCAGAGTATTCACTTGTACAGGGAAAGACACGAGCTCAAATCCTTTCTTTGAACTGGACCCAAATTTTCTGCTTTCTGGGAGGGTGCTTGGCCCACGGGTTAGAGGATGTGTGAGTAGGGTGCCAGGGGTGAGGGGTGCTCACAGTGTGGAAGCAGCTTCCACCTTCATGTAAGGTGCTTGGGCTACCTTAGCATGAATACCAGACCCTGGGCCTCCCAGGCAGCTGCCGCGCTGGTCAGGATTCACAGCATTGGCTCCTTGGCCAACTTGACGCTAAACCAGGATGCTGAATACCAAAATATTCACAAGACTAAATTCTCTTGTGTTTGCTGTGGTTTCCATGATGGGTAGGCTTTTTGAGGAAGAGGTGGAGGCTCCTAGCTACTGTTGCTGAAGTGGTCTGCTCAGCTCGTGTGCAGGGCAAGGAAGAAGGCAGAATAAACGTGAGAGGGGCATCTGAAGGCCGGTCCAGCGGGGTTTGCGGTGCCTGGCACTGCTGTGTGGAGGAACGCCTCTTTCCTTCGGCTAGCTCGGAGACGGTGGAAGGTGTGACGTTGCTGAACACTGGCTGAACTGTCACAGGAGAAAGTGGGGGCCCAGGGGAGGGGAATGAGAGCCCAGCAGTGGCAGGTTAACGTGTGGACAGCCACCAAGGCATGCTGATCGTGGGCAGGAGAGAGGATGTCCCAAGCAGCATTCCCTCCAAAACACTGACCTGGTGAGGTGGCTGGGCAGGCAGGGGTAGCGGAGGGATGAGCGTACTCTTGCTTCAGTGCACCCAGAGACCAGCTGAGCTCTTGATTATGCACTCATGGGCTTCACTGAAAGGATCTTCTCCTGAGTTATATAGTCTTTACTCTCCTTTGCTTGTGCCCCTGCCCTCCCAGAAAGCAAAGCTTACCTTAGCAAACAGACTACATGGGCTCCCTTAAAAACAACCACCTTTTCCCTGGTTCTTATGACCCTCTGTCTCAGTTTTTTAGAACACTTTAAGATATCGCTTTCTTTCTTCCTCCCAGTGTTGGTCTGTATGTGTTTCAGCTTTACAGTGTCAGGATGATGAGGACTAGTTTATCAGGAGATGTTTTAGTCAACAGAGGAAGCCATGAAGTCAGCTCTGTGAATATTTGTCACACCTGCTTCTCTAAAGCTGCTGTTTCCAAGCATAAAAGATCTGAAAACTAAAAACATCACAGCAGAGAAGCATAGGGCCTTACACGTGCTGTTTTCCTTGCTCCTCAGGACATCCATTACATGTCTGAAGATCCCTGCCTCTCCCTTATCAGGTCTGAGTGAATCTGTAGGCAGAAGACAATTCAGCCTAGATTCTGGAGTAAAGCCATTTCACTCTTACAACTTTGACCCTTCTTTCCTTCAGCGCATCACATCTGACACTGGGATTGAGCAGTCACACCTCTATAACCCAGAAGAGTCCAAAACTGAAAGTTCTTAGAGCAAGATGGTAACTTTGCTGCCCTGCATATCCTGTACACTTCTTTGTGTTGGTCAAACAGCAGTGACACGCTACGCTGACAAGGAAAACAGGAATAGGGAATGCTGCATATCCACCATTTGGCAGAGTTCATGTTGATATAGAAACTTAAACTTTTGGTATTAGCTGATATTTGAGGGGTTTATTTCTCAGCTTTAACAATAAGTATCGCTGCTTCTCCCTACCACACAGATTGTAAATAAATGCCAAGGTTTGAAGAGCAGCTCCAGAAAAGAAAGCACAGTCCATGACAAGTTACATTTCTATGTAACACTTAGGAAATGCTAAATCCTTAAAAATATTTGAGGAACTTGCTTAAAGATGCTGGTGGAACCAGCTAGCCCTTCCTTTCAGAGCTCTGATCGGGGCTGCTTTAGTAGCCTAGCTGTCATCAGGCTAAGGTGAGCTTGAAGCTGTCTGCTCCTGTGCTTCATGTAGCAGGCTAACATTCCTTGCTCTGACACCTTCTCACCAGAGATTGCTTTAGTGACCATTCAGCTTTGTAAGGTCCTATGTCCAGATTCTTTTTCTACCCATCTGTTAGTGCTGGAATCAGATAAAGTGAAGCCATTTTTACCCTTGTGACACTATTTAGGAAAACAAGTATCATTATGGCTCTCCAGTTGGGTTGCTAATGTTCTGAGCACCAGAGCACTGCATGCACCACAGCAGCTGTTAAATATTCAAGGGTGAAATTCCAATAATAGTATGCTATAAAATCTCTGGATAAATATTTATGCTTGTGAAGGTTAAGTGACTTGGAGTACTATAAACTCCAGCCTTTTGGGCAGGCCAGTGCAATTTAAGCCTTCCTGCAGTGACCCACCAATGACCTCTCTCCCAGTCTAGAGGCAGAGTGATTGCTGGAGGTTAACGATTCAGAATGGATCCTGAGGCCTCTGCAGAGCAATAACCCAGCACACAAAACACATCAGATGTTATTTGAACCCAACTACTCATCTCAGAGCCGCTTACCATCTCTAACATTGCTTAAATTTACCGGAAACTTCTCCGAGTGTAACTTCATTCACAAATCCTGCATGGTGTTGTCTCAGTGTTGGTGTAAGTGAATGAAAGCCTCTAGAAGATGACAAGCATCGCATCACATACTGGGATTTTGCTGTTTTATTCCTAAAGTGTGTAGTTATCCTTTTCTAATCTGCAGGCAACTTCAAGGTATGCCTTCATGCTTCAGAAATGTAAGTGAAACAACAGGTCCAACTACTACTAAAACATTTGTACAAGTTAGGCCGCATTAGCCATTAGGATCTGTAGTTCAGGGCCTTTCAGCACTCGTGGAGGAAAAAAAACAAAACAAAAAACAGGCAAAGCTGTAGCCTTAGTGAACTCAGCAGAGTTGGGATGCACTCTAAACATTTAATGAGTGTGTTTTCAAAAAGTTGCATACTCCCTCATTTACTTCTTAAGATACATTCCAGAGAGATAACAGACACAGCCTTATTCCTCTTTCTCCATCTCACTGGTGCCATTATTTCCTGCCTGAAAGCACAGAACAGAACTCCATTCAATACAGCTGCTGTGTTCCTTGACACTCCTGCCTGTTGACAGTGTGTTAGGAATGACCCCACCCATGCTAGAAAGAAGAGCAAGCCACGATATGTCTCATTTTACTCCAAGCTGAGGGGAACTATTTCACTTGCTGCTTTGAAGCACTGGAATGATAGGTCCCTGTCATTTACTAAGAAAAGAGAATGCACTCTTAGCCTTTCAGAAGCGAGCCATCCTAAATCAGGGCTCTCTTGACTTAGTTCTACTTACCCAAATGAAACACATCACCAAAACAATGTCTTGGAAGTAGGTTTCCTAAAAAAGCCTGATTTATTTATCTGCCATTCCACCATGGTTGGTAGGTCTTGTCAATACTTGCTATTATCTTTGGAGCAAGAACATTATCAGCAGGTTTATGGCTTACTAATGCCATGTTGAGGATTGTTTATTTTATCTGGCAGTTGATATGTAAAAGAACGGCTTTAGGACAATAATATACATTTCAGTCTGAGGAACTCATTAATAATACTTTAATCCACAGGAGTCTTAGGTTTTATTTTGCTTTACTCTGCACTGGGAAATTTTTTTTCTTGACTTGTCCCCTCTGAACTTGCCGAGCACGAGTTCCAAATCCCAGAGACTGCATTGATTCTGTTAAGTACTTCTGGTCAGGAGAGATGCACAGCATCACCAGCAGTTTAGCATCACCTCCTAAAAGCAGGAAAAAGACAAAACATACTTATTTACCTCATTATTTTCAGTAAGTTACACACTGGTAATGTATTGATCTACAGAACAATGAGCATAGGCTACCGTTGCTTAGGAAGCAGAAGACTATATGTGAAGAGGGCTGTTGAAAACAGGGAGTTCTGTCAGTGGAAGTCTATATATAACAATACAATATTTGCCCTAGTAGAATAAATGTTTCACCATTTGTAATGTAGATTTTTCCCCCCTCCCTTATAGCTTCATCAGTTTATCTGCATGTATATTATGGGTCTGGGCACTTCATTAAGCTTTGTGAAATGTTTGTAAATTCAGGATCATGGCAAAATGGCTGCTTTGTGTGACAGTAAAGCAAAACAGACTTATTAGAAGTTCACAGAAAATGATTAAACACACAAAGAAATTCACACAAGGAAATTACTGCTTTCAACACTTCACCTAAACAGTGTCACCCAAGTCATACACCAGGCATGGTTAAAACCAGGCCTAGTGCCCATACGACATAGCTCCTAAACTAATTTATTTCTTTAGCTTTCCCTTTTCACAGTGGGGACTCCAGCACTAGGTGAAATTCAAAGTTCAAGCAAAAATTAAGTCTTTCAGAAGCTCTGAAGAACTGTTACCTCAGTCACTATCAGTGCCTTGAACTGGAGACTGAAGGGCTGATGCTTTCTGGCTGAAGAAAGATGGACTAATATACTGTATTGATGGACACAAATCTGACATTGCTGCAGGAATTATGCTTGCTTTAAAACTGTTTCTGCATAGGTGAGGAGCTAGAGAAGAGGAGGTGACTGAAACACAAAAAGGAGCCGTAGCACAGTACCATGCATATGTTCTCTCCGTCCTTTTTCTTACTGCTATAGGGACAACGTTCAGGAATGTGCAAATATGTGACCGCACCCTGTCGTAATAAAGATTGAAGCTTAACTTTTAAACTGCACCTGATGTGAAACGCCAGTGAAATGCAATTATTACCATTTACATGATCCTATTAGAGATGGTGTGAAGATTATTCCAAGTGTATTCGTAAAATGAACCTTGGAAACAGCAAGGTTTAGCCAAATTCAAGAGGAGTTCAAACACTCAGTGTGTACTCACTGTGCTCCAAAGCCAGAGTCTTTGAATAGAGGCCTACAGACAAGGCACGAGAACAAGATCATCCTCTAGTTTTACACAACAAAGGAGGGGAAAGATTGAGAAAGTAAATCTCTGGTGTTAAACAGAAGTCAGAATAATCTCTCACCTACGGAGTCCTGAAGCAGATGCGTAAGTTTGCTGTTTCGATAAGGTACGTGAGGTCGCTGTTCTGCTATTGCTCCAAGGACGTCTGCTAGGGCAGACAAGCTGCGGTTAATAAAGGATGTCTCTCTCAGTGCTGCGCCTGTCACTCCAGACATACCTAGGACAGCGCAGAAAAAGGCGAGGGTAAGACTAAGCAAAGCTGCTTCAGTTGAAATTTGTGAAAAAAAAATTCTGTTGCTGTGTCATCTACTTTTGTCACAGTATTTTTTAACACAAATTCTGAACCATGACTTCCAGTCCACCTGTGCCAAAAGCAAGACGCAGCGACTGTTTACTCCGACTGCCACTACATTGTTCAACACTTCTAGTCTTTGAAGGGAGGTTAAAGAAGGTTCAGTGCCTACACATGGTCTGAAGTCTCTCATGTTAAAGTTTATCTCTTCAGCTGTACAATACATCTTGGCTCCATATTTATTATGGAACTGAGAAAGTAGAAACACCGTTAAGATCAGACAAGACAATGCTGCTTTTGAAAACATCAGTCCACGGAGTCTCCAGAGAGAAGCCTGTTGTGTTCCACCATATTTTATAACAGTTAACCACCCCGTCTGTATCCCTTAGGAAGAACAGGAGTGACTCTGATGGCAGAAGCTGCAGAAACAAAACTGTACAGCAGCCATAAGTGTGAGGGGTTTATGTCCACCAAAGTCTGTAAGGTGCTGTTCTCTGTAGTATGATTTGCTGTAAGGAAATTGATACAAGAAAATGATGCCCTTCTACCATCCACCCAGCATGGTCACGTGCAGCAATGCTACCCTTGAGCAACACTGGAAAGGTCTGATCTACAAATCAAGTTGCACCAATTTCAAGAGGTGCTGCAACAAAAATGATCAGTCTGGATGAGTGTACAGTTAAGAGTAATTAATTCCTCCTGTCCTTACCTCTGCCATTTGGGGAAGAGAAACTTGCTATTACCATTTAGCATCACATTACTCAAATTCAGCCTTTCTTCAGGATAGTGGATGAGCTACAGATGCATCTGCAATCAGCTCTCATTACCCGGAGCATACGATCCATGCTAGGCAGAGCTAATGGTAGTGAGATGGTCAGAAGGGGCTAACAGTTTCTTCAAGCTGCCTTCTGTCCCACCTCTAGAGAGACAAAGAGGCTGTACAGAGAGGCTAGGGATCTTGTTTTTCCTTTAGGTCAGGATTTTCCCAACTGGGAGAACAAGAGAGGTGTTCAAGAGGCAAGTATGAAAAGGCACAGTAAGAGAAAACACACCCCAGGAATCTGGACAGTGAGGGATGGAGAAATATGACTGTGGGAGAGGATGGGGCTGGAACAGTAGAGTCTCTTTGCAGAGTGGAGCAGAGCAGAACAGTTTGGGAGACTCTGCCATGGGGTGTCAGTAAACTGAGACAGGCTGTATCTCAGACTAACTTTACTGGGGTCTGTGCCTCCAGCCATCCTCAGGCTTCTTTTATAGCCAGTGAAGGTGGACTCCTGAGACAGTGCTTATCACCATAGAGGAGAAAACTGCAAATAGGTGAGGGGGAACATGTTTAAACTGCTGATTATCTACATTTGGCCAAATGATCCTCCATAAAGCATATTTAGATGAAACTAAAAAGGGACCGCTTAGTAAATGTTGTATATGATCCAGGATGGCAGGGAAGCTAACAAGGCAGGGTGCTGATGTACATTTAAAGTGTGTGAGATGCCTGCTACTGCTGATCATTTAGATTTGTCCACTTTTTAAAACAATTACAAGTTAACAGCTGCCCTCACTTTTATCAGAGTAAATCCAACACCTTAAAATCTCAACCAGCATAGCTGATGGCAGAGGTTAGTCTGCTGTATGTGCTGGGCCACATAGAATCATAGAATGGTTTGGGTTGGAAGGGACCTTAAAGATCATCTAGTTCCAACCCCCCTGCCATCAGCAGGGACACCTTCCTCTAAAGCAGGTTGCTCAAAGCCTCATCCAACCTGGCCTTAAACACTTCCAGGGAGGGGACATCCACAGCTTCTCTGGGCAACCTGTTCCAGTGTCTGACCACCCTCAACATCTAACACTGGTGTAAGTGAGCACAGTTCTGGACTTCACTAGACTGGCCCACTGAGCCCCAGACCAAGTAAACGTTTGTCCTGGTTGTGCTGAGTGAACAAACACACACTGTTGCTCAATTATGTGTTTATGAAACAGTTTCCAGCACTTAGAGCAAATGAAAAAAAAAAAAAGTATTAGATTAGGTTTCTCTGTAGAACAAAAGTTTAACAGTGAGCAACAGCAAGAATTCTTGGCAGTAAAGTAAAAGACTCTCTCATAATACTGGTTCCGTTTTCAAAACATTATTTCTGGAATGGTACACTTGGCTGCATGGCTTTCCTTGGTAAGAAAGCTTGTCCTTTAGGAAATAATCAAGTTTTTGAAATTATTGTGCACATAAAGGAGGGGGGAGGAGGAAAATGCTTTGAAGAAAAAATGAAAACAATATTATCTTTTCAACACTAACTTCCTCCAAGACTTTTTCCACAAGAAGGCAGAAAAACCCACACATGGTGATATCAATTATTACAGATATTCATAATATTTAAATAATTTATGCAATTTAAACATTTCTGTACAAAGACATGCTAATTTTCAGAGTAGAAAAACAGGCTTAATAAAACCAGTCTGAACAAATAATATACCTATGATACGGGTAACCGCCCTGGGCTTATTTTAGGCTTATGCAGACAGGTTTTCAGTTAAACTGTACCAGTGTAAAACTGGAACAATCAGGCCCACAAATTCTGTTTATGTCAGGAGCTGTGGGTTTAAACCACCCCTGCATGAAAGCAGGGTAGTGTGTATCCTCACATAAAGAGGCAAAGGCAACTATTGTAACCTACATCTGGTAGGATCCATGCCCATAAACAGACACGTTCACTTACCCACACACTCGCTACCAGCCAGGTCCACCAGCTGCAATCTAGTTTTGACTTGCTTCAGTTTCTCAGTGGCTTCAAGTTGTGCTGGTGAAGAGGCTCTGGAAGAAGAGGTGGATTTATTGTCCCTCATTTTTTGTGGAAAGGTGCCAGAAACCTCTTTATTTAGTCTTTGACTGGTTTGTTCATCTTCCCATGAAGTACCTGGTTAATGGAAAAAACAAACAAAGGGAGCTGCTCAATGGCACTTGTGATGGAAATTGTGATGGTGAAAAATGGGGCATCGACAGGGGAAGTACAGTATCTGCCAGTTTAGGCCATTCTAACAGAAGTAATATACAAGTCATAATCAATGGCACAGGCAGCCTGAATGACTTTGTAGTTAAGATTTTGTTCATCAAACTGATCATACCAGTTAGTAACAAGACTTGTGTGCAGGTTCTGTGGTATCTAATATCCCCATTGTTCACATTTCTATGTGGAAAACAAGAAACAGGAGGCCAGTAAGGACTTTAAAGGGCATTTTTTCATGTTTTAGATTGACTGCAACCAAAGTGAGATTTTGCTTGTTTAGGTGCAATAAGCTCTGAAGTCTGTTTATATGTATTTGAAACTCTGGCAAAAAAAAGTTTGTCCTGCTTCTTCTATTTGGTCCCTTGCTGCTGTTCCCTCTATTCGTCCATCAGCCCGCATATGGCACTGCTGCATCTCTACATGCTGAGTTGTTAGCCTCAATAGCATTACTCTCACTTGTCCAGGCTGGTTACCTACTACTCCTGGTAGTTCTGTAGCTGCACTGGGCTGCTTCATATCCTTCCTCTTCCTCAGCAGCAGCATCTGGCTTTCACTTTCTGCTGGGAAGGAAGAGGAAGACAGATTCTCTGGGGAAGCTGCTTTGACAGTAGCTGAGCAGGAGCGTATGCAAAAGAGCTTTCCCAAAGCAGTTTTGGTTTTTTTTTCTTCAGTGTTTTGGTTTTCATCCATCTCTCTCTCTGTCTCTCTGAAAGACATAAAAGAATACAAGGCGCACACTGCTACAGGTAATAGAGATACCAGACTCTCTTGGGGAATTAAAGAGTCTTTGTTGCAAAAGTACAAAGTTTCCAGCTGCAAAACTTGAGTAAGGAACAGACTTACTCGGGTTGCAGAACTCTGTACCTCTCCAGCTAGGCTGTTGCTAAAACCCAAGCTAGCTGTTCACAGTGTAGACAGAGCAGCTGTGTTGGTTTACACAGAATAAATGGCTTCAGGCCATTTGACATTTCATGTCAAAATAAGTGTCCTCTCTCCTCTTCAGTTTGAGACGAGGAAATTAAGAAACAGCTCTCCTCAAACAAGAGATATTACTGAAACAAAACGCTAAGAGTCCTTAATCAAACCTGAAAAAGTGCTGGTTTGTCAGCCCTGGCTTTAGGTGCAGAACTCATCACAGACTTTACAACTTTTTATTTAGTGACTTCCATCTCCAGGGTTGAGATATTTGACAACTGTACCCAGCACCTAGCTTTTAAATTAATTCTCCTTTTAAAGAAGAGAGAATGCACTGTCACACTGCTACAGCAAGGTCCCACTTGCAGTGCTGCTGTACCCCCCATATTGCGGATCTTCATCCATGTGCCATGGGCTGAGAGCCCGAGCCTGCACTCAACATAAATTAGACGTTTCTATGGAGCTTTGCTGCCAGACAACGTGACGTAGTAGAGTGATGGCAATTCAAAATGGCAAAGGGAATTCTGGCCTAGACAAGATGGCTGGTGCACTAACGGTGCAGACACTGTGTTTTGAAAGGTAACATCTGCCTGATTGACAAGAATCTGGGACTGGTTAGAGCTAACATCTGTAACATTGAGCTGCAACTGGTGAAGTAACTGTGTCTTTTGGCAAGGCCCATAGGGGAGTGAGGGCACTGTTTGTTCCGTTCTGCTAATAGTGTCGGTTTAATTTCTGATAGCAATCTAAGGGAAAAAATGTTAAATATTTTCCACTTTCTAAAACCATATTGTTGTTGCAGAGTATGAAGGAGATGGACCACAGCACTGGAAGCAGAGAGCCTAATTACAACATGAGCAAAAGAAAACAAAGTTAACCCCCAAAAGCTGAAGTTATTCCTAAAGCAATAAACTGGTAAGTCTTAGTGTGGTAATGAAAAGTTGAAATATAGGTTTTGCCATAGTAAATAAGACAACTATGTTGTCTGTTCCTACAGTGGCCTGTTATTAACAGTTCAAGGGACTCTGAATTTAGTGGATGTTTTTGCAAGGCAGTGGGTAAAAAAATATTCACCCAAAAGCATACGATGATCCCTAAAACACATGGTTAGCTTTACCACAAACTTACCATGAATAATTATATGATATGTCATACGAAGTGATTTAACTACTGTATTTGAGAATCTCTTACTGATATCTTATCTATCTTACCTTATACCTTATCTTATGAACTACTAATAAAATTTATTTCATTACTTGTCTCATGCTATAAAACTTCAAGAACTCTGTAATGAAGACACGTAAAGAAAAATTGAAAGTTTTTATGAAAGTTTCAGTGTCATTCAGACATCAAACCGGTCTGTTATTTAAGAAGGTATGCAGAAGTTAAACAATGGAAAAGAATTTGAATGTATTAAACATTGGAAAAGGGAGAAAAAAACAATATGAAAATATCTAAGTCCACTGACTGTTTTTCAAACAAACCAACTGGCCCTAGATGTATTTTAGTAAGATCCGACTTACCAAAGTTATCTCCAGAGGTGATGGTGGTTATGGTCAATGTAACTACCAGATGAGAACGAGAGGAATGAGCATGCACCAGTGTTGGGTGCCTGACTCTCAGCTGTAGGCCTTTGTAGACTAGATGCAAAAATTCAGATGCATTTTCAACAGTCCTAGGAAGTAAAGAAACAAGGAGAAGATTTAACTGACTGACACTAAAAATCACACAAGAAAGCTGACAACTTGGACGTGAGTCTGAGCATTTTCACTTCCCCACTCTTCTAACTTCTTATAGTAACCTCAGTTTGAGCTGCACAAACAACTGTATATAGACTTTTTCAGGTGGGATATAGTCCAACATGACAATTCAGGACAAAAGCTGTGATGTAGCACTGCAAGTGCTGAAGAAGTGGCCTTGCAGGTCTATACGTACTCTAGCTCAGCTCTAGAAGCAACCGAAATTTCTATACCTCCACACTCTGGAAGAAAATACACAGATTTAGACATTCCTGAAATCTCTGGATTTACAGAAGTGGAGTTGTCCAGTTTACATTAAGGTAGTTCCTGTTCTTTGGGAGGTACAGAATCAGGGCAAAAAAAAGAATTTCTCTGGGCCTTTGGAAATCATATTTCACATTTGGAATTAAGTCCAGAATCCTTGGAAAAAAGTTCAATTCCACTGCTCAATGAGCAGGGACTCCAGCACAGTGTCAGAATAGACAGGCATAAGTTTCTATAGATGATTTTCTCTCGTACTGTCTGTTTTCTTTCTAGTTAAAAGAAATACTGCAAATATGACCAATCAAAGGGCAAAATCCTAACACAGAACATAAAATAAACTGTTTAGGTAAAGAAAAAACCCCACTATGATTTCCCCCAGGTTTGCAATGTTTAAAACAAAGGAGGTAAGATTGCCTCCCCTTTTTCCTTTCGCTGTATTGCCTTCTTCAATAGTCACTCAAGTTACATCACCTAAACATTAGTTTCTAGATGGAGGTATAAATTACTATGACTGCATATCACAGCCCGGTTACTGAATGCCCTGTAACACCAGAACCATTAATAACTCTCCTGACAGGCTACAGGCTTGGTTCCACATCACTGCAATCAGCAAAATCAAGCATATGATAAAAGGCAAGGCCTTAATAACTTAGAATTGGCAGGTTTCAGCAAAAGTCACACTGGCCACAAACTTATTTTATGCTAAGAAGAGCCATACCAAGAGTTTAGAGACAAAAGAGCTATATCCAGCTAAAACTATTTCATCTGAAAATAAAGCAAGGGCACCTGAAGAACAGAAAAACACTTGGCCACACCATGTTTATAGACACTTAAGAGAAGCAGGCACCTAAAAGCAGTTCCTTGTGTAACCAGGGCTGCAGGAGCTAATTGATGACTGTAGACTTTGCTGATCAACCTTGAGCCACACACACTGGCCTCCCCTGTAATATCTCTGCCTCTGTGCATTCACTGACAACTTCTCCCTGGTTTTTTGACCTGGCACCACCAGGGAAGCAACAGCTCTAGTTCCCACTGTCAGAGAAAGCAGAGCCTCACACTGGGGTGATCTGACTATTGCCTCAAGTCCAGGGAGGCAGATTTTTACTGTCTTGAACTGCATCTTCCAACAGCTAGTCAGCCAGGACTGGACAGCCTGAGAGGTAAGTAGCCTTCCCCAGGATGTAGCAACAGGCAATCGGCTTCTGCAAGCTGCTGCTGTGCACTGGCAAGGGGTCAGTGCTCCAGGTTGCTGTCCTTTAACTAGTGTTTGCAGAAGAAGATTAGCCTCAGGGTATGGTCAGTGCTGGTCACCTACTGAGAAACTGTCTTGAGTTTGAAGGTAAAATGCATCCCCAGCCCCGTGCTGCAAGCTTGGCACAGTAGCTTCTCAGCAGGACTAACAGTAATAGGTTTTTAGTATAATCTCTACAACTTTATCATGCTGTATGTACCACACGTTCCAGGACCAGATCCTACAAAGAGAAGCTCTGTTGTGGTTAGGTTAAAAATTTGATGCTGAATGTTCTCCAAAGTCAACTAAGCCATAAAAGAAGAAAGAGACTGGGGTTTTTGTGATTCAATAAGATGTACGTGTTCGTAGGAAAGAGACTACTGTACTTTAATGGATATATGGAGAAGCCAATGAGACCCAGCAGGCCAATGTATTCTAGATGAAATATTATCACAAATGAGGATGTGTTTTTATTCAAAGCACCAGCTGTTTACTTTAGATTTCAGGCAGCTGGGTGGCCTCATTCAATGCTTCCCTTATTTTTCAGGGGTTTGCTTTTTCTTATTAACCTTTCTGTGTAATTATTAATATAACCTGTTTATGAATTGGCCTTTTTTCATTGTTTGCATTGTAATTAAGATATAAGTCCATATTCTTATTTATACTTCTATTAGAACTGAGTTTTTATCAATTGAGTGAGATGAGTGGTTTTTAAGAGTTGCTTAGTTCAAGGCGCCAGGTTCCTTTACCATAAATTAAAATTTACAGAACTAAACAGAGCAGCCATTTTATTAACTAGCAGGACAAATGAAACCTTATTGCAGCTTCAAGTCCTTGTCTCTATGGCACAAGTCCAGCTACATCTCACCTCTCCCTTCCCCAAAGCCCAGAAAAAGCGATGGGTCACCCACTAACTATGCAAAGCTTGCTTGGGAAGGGGAGCTGGCATTTTTTAGTCATGAAACCAGGCCAGCATCTTGGTTACTAAAATACCATAATTAAAAATTACTCAGAGGTTCTGGTGAAGCTGGAAAAATTCAACTGCCATCATACCCACACTATATGCACCCATCTTAATTTTCTAAGTCATGCAGTTCCTTTCTTCTCTAGTCAAAGGAAAAAGATTAGCTCCTTCAGGAAAGCTTCAGCACACACAGATTAGGCTCCGCTCCCAACCTCTTCTGAAGGAGTTTTTCATTCCCTTGACAGCAGAGCCTTAACCAGATGCCCTAAGCTGGAGTAGAGTCACAGTTAGTGATATCCAAGAACAGAGAGAAACACACCAGTCAGCATAATACACAGCGGGCAAAGGACTCATCACTTCAAGCTCCAGTCATTTTTAATTCATCCCATGCTCTTAAGGAGCATGCAGAGTGCAATCAAGAATGCAGAATTTCTCTGAAGATCGTATTTAACCTCAAGACTAAAGAGCAGGCATACCCCAGATACAAATGTTAATCCTTCCTGGAATATTGCAGTGGTTATTATTTCACAGAAAGAAAGGAGAGTTATATAGCCCCATGGCGAAGAAAGGCACTTTACAATTTCCCTGGGGTCCCACTTTTCTATGAGCAATTCAGTGGCTAGAAAATACGAGTAAATAAATGCGTATAACTAGGTAGAATATGTTTGCAGAACCCTCCAGTACATTCTTGTATTTTTATCAAGTCTTTCTGGCAACAGCATAAACCCACATAAACAAACTACAAGTTTGCTTATGCGACTAAGTCCCACAAGACAAAAATACTGCCTTCAGTTATTTCCACTGAGGATGCATTTTATTTTAATTGGTGGGGCAGAGTGGGGAGGGATGCTTTTCATAGTTGACTTCTAATTCCTCCTGGAAAAGTAGAGATTAGCCCATGACAAGCATTATTATAGATAAGTGAAGAAAACCATCATGTTTCCCTGAGAAACATAAAACATTATAATACTGTAGTCCTAAACATTTCAATAGGGGAAGATGTTTCTTTTCACAAACATTATTTGCCCAAGGAACAGAACATTTTTTCTAAGTTTCTAGACCTCTGTGTAGTGCAGAAGTAGAAATGTTCCCTTCTAGAATCTGTTCACATGCTGGGCGCTCATAGGGAGATGTCCAGTAGCTTAATTCCACTGGGAAGCATCACTTCTCTGGTGCCACTCATACTACTTGTCATAATTTGGTTTTGCTAATGTTGATTTAATACTAGCTTCCTTTTAGTAAGAGCTGTGTTGTTTATACACTGCTGTTACTAAAATGAAGCATCTGAAACAGATGGACTTTTGTTAATGGATGAATTGTTATGAACATGGGATTTTTACCATCTAGTTAGCCAAGGTAAGTGTTTTATAACAAGAAAGTATTATACATTTGCTTTGTATACTAGACATATGTAACACCAGAAATCATTCCCATGTGTACTAGAACAAGCCTTTGTAATGCTTAGTAATTACAAGAAGGCACTAAAATAAGTGTAGCTGTAGCCCTAAATACCTTAGCTCTCCCTACACCATGAGGATGTGTAAATAAGAATCAAACTTACCATACACCGACACTGGAAAGCTGTACACCTTAAAACTGAATGGGTGGAAGCTTAGCTACTTCTTAGCTTTCAGTTTGAAGAACCTGGATTTTCAAGAACTATGGGTTCAAATGTCAGCATATCAATTCCCACTTAAATGCCTCCAGTTATAAAAACAGAATACTAAGCAGAGAAAGACGGGTATTCATATTACAAGATAACTTAAAATCTTATTCTTTCTAAAGTTTTGGGTTGTTTTTTTTTTACTCCAGTGTGTGTAGGTAAAGCTAACACTCTGCAGCTGCTTAAAAATCTACAAGAAGTACATACATTTCTATTATAATCTGTAAATTTTATAATTTGTTAAGACTGAAGAGAAAGAGCTTTGTGACTGGTTTACTACTTCTTTTGCTAGAGCTGACAAATGCCGTAGATCCAGCAGTAATGAGACACACAGCTATCATCTTGTCCATTCTGAGGAGAAGGTGCTTAACACAGGGGTATGACCCAAACTAACTGTACTGTTATTTCTGAAAGTGCTTGGAAATTTGCAGCCAACTGCAGTCTAATAGACTGAGCTAATGGAAATGGTCAGAACTGTTTCTTTGCATACGGTAAGGACTCATTGTTTAGAAGCAGTAACTGGTGCCTATAATCCAGTTTTGTGACAGCTATACATTGCATTGACACCAGATCATGGTTGGATGACAGGGATCAAATTGTGTACTTACTCGTGCGTAAGCAATGGAACATCGCTCTTCCCTTCTCTGGTTGTAACAATATCACGTTTGACGCCAAATACTTTTCCACAACTGTCTTTGGCCAGAAGATCAAAAATGTCATTATTATACACTTCTACAACAGAAACCTCAACCCAGTAACTTCCTGGTGGCTTTTCTGAAATAAGCCTGGAGAATAAAAATAGAAAAAAAAAAAAGAAAAAAAGCCAAAAAAACATTGAAGTCAAACCCCAAATGAACAATCTCTAAATAAAGATCTATTCTTTAATTGTAAGCTAATTACAGTCTGATAAAAGTGCTTATTAAATATCCACAGCCATGGCTTTGTCTCATCCACATGCTAATGTTAAGCTGAAGAATCAGAATATACAGTTAAATTATATGTGAAGCAGTAAATAAAACTTCATTTTCCAAACAGCTGTGCCAGCTTAAATTGTTTTTCTCCACCAGCCTTCCTCCCTCCTCAGGATTTTTTTTATACCTTTTTTCTGCTACACGTTATTGCATTTAGAGCTCAAAGTATGATAAACTCTGGCAGAGTGCAAACAATGAACAGGCAGAGATGGTAAACTGCCCAGCTAGATCTGTAAGAGGTTATCTGTCTACAGCCTCAGAAAATTAATAAATTAAGGGCTTGTCTATTCAGGAGAGTATTTACATTTAAACACAGTTATTGTGGTACAAAACTGGATCTTTGATTTAGCTTATACCCTTCTCCAAAAGAAACAGGTTTAACTGGAGAAACGTCTAATGGCCCATCTATTACAACATAGCAGGGTATCAGTTTAAATCATGCATTAGGTTCAACTAAAAAAATCTAAGAATTCTTAAAGCAAGAACAGATCATGGTTAAAAGTTTTACTATCGTGCTCCTTGGGGACTAGGTTCTAATCTGGATCCTCTTCATCTATTCCAACTGTCAATTTTCACAAAACTTGTATTAACTTAATTATCTTCTGGACTCCCATAACTATGGTTGAAACAGATTCAAAAGTTAATTAGGAGTCTGAAAGACAGATGGGCAGATAACATACAACAATATTGCATAATCTTATTTTCTTTGCAAATCAGACAAAGGTAATCTATATCAAAACTCAAACACTGAATGGCAGTCAGAGAAGCTACAACTAATAATCATTGTGAAGCAGAAATCTGTAATGATAAATATATTGCAAATATTATTTCATCCTTTCTGTAAAGTTTAAGGTGACTGCCACTGACATGAGCCTTTATTTAGTTGTCACCTGAACACTTCTTGGGCAGCTCGAGGAATAATTCCAAGTTCTGATTCATCTTCTGTGGAGAATGCAAAGTTCTCCTCGAGCTGTGGTCCCAACATTGTGTATGTCTTCCCACTTCCAGTTTGCCCATAAGCCATGATACACACATTGTACCTGAAATGAAAAGGGCTTAAATTTATTTTACCATTACCAAATGTATTTGTTAGGTGGAAAGTCAAACCCCAAGCAATTTGGGAACACAAACTGAAACAAAAAATACACTGACCCTGCAGATTTCTTTCTGGAGATCTCAAAATCTGACAGAAATTAAAGTACTGCTCATAACATCGCCTAAACAGATTTTATTTTAAAGCAGAGTTGAAGGGATGCTTAGCTTGGAATGACTGATGAGGTTAGACCTCCTGTCTGCCCAACTTCCAGTTCATGCACTCGTGAGCTGCTTGTTAATCAGCCCCTGAAGCATTGCAGTTTACAGTAGAGCATTTTAAAGTAAACCGTCACTGGGTTTGATTTGTCTTACAGTGCTATGCTGCAAACCACAGCACTGGTATCGTAACAGCTGGGAACAGTAAACTCTTCAGCTCTCCTGTCTTTTTCAGGCAGGCTCACCAGTCACAGCCTTCAGTCACTGGAGAAGATAAGACAGCCCTAGTGCCTGGAGGCACAAATTGTAAACCAAATGCATTAGTTCGGTATCAGTGTGCACGCAAAGACGACTCTGTAATAATGGTGGTAGGAACTGCTCTGGTATGGATCTGTAGAAGGTGAAAATGTACAGTGTCACTGCAGAGGTACAGGTACCTATGAAACAGAGTTCATCATCTTCAGAAGTAGACACGTAAAATAAAGTCTAATGAACAGAACTCTGAAAATGGCTGTTTCACTGCACTGGAAATAATAATAATAATAATAAAAAAAAGTCCACAGCTGTGAGGTCTGTTGTGGATGTGTGTGCCACAAGGATCTGAATTTAGATGTAGGAATCCTATCCAGAAAATGTGTTTCTAACACAGTCTAATCAAAGTCAACATCTTAAGCAAAACAAGGGGGTGGATATGAAGGTATCAACCCACAGTACTACTTTGTATTGAGGACCAATACTCTACTGTGCAGCTGAAGGCTAGTCCCTACTTGGCTGCGTCTGCTCTGCAGCACCTGCCAGCACCTTGGTGTTGACCACAGAACTGTGCCAGCTCTTCCAACTCGTGGAAGACAGGCAGTTATGCTGACAGGACTGCTCCTCTCCTGGACTATCTAACTTGTTTGTTCAGAGACACAACATTAGCAGAAATCTCTGCTGTACATGAGGAGTGCTTTGCAATATGCTGCAATTTCTGCTCTACTAGAGAGTTGCAAGAATGGGCTTCCTCCTGCTCTGCCAGGGAGTAAAATTTCACTGCCTAAGCTGCCTCCTCAGTGGGCAGACCTGAACAGCTGCTTCTGGTTATCTGCTGCTTTTCCTCCTATCAAAAATGTTTTTTCAAGCACATGCCAGAAAATTTCAACGAACACTCCTCATGTAATTGTTTTAAATTTATGGTTTCAAGTCATGAAATACTTACATGGCCACTGCAGAGAAACATATTTGCAGCAAATTTCTGCATATTAAACATGCCTAGAAGCAATTATTTTTGGAGGATTATTTAGGAAGCTGTCTCATGTGAGAAAGAAATGTGGGCTGATAAGCAACACAGCAAATACCTGGGTACCCCTTCCGGGGATACGAAGTCAAATTTGCAGTCAGTGAACCTATAGTAAGGTACCTCCACATTTCAAGATGCAGCATATAAAATAGAAGTCTAGTTATAGATTTGATGAAGTAAAGGAGATGAGATACTTGCAAGTGAAAATAAAGAGAACTACAGCAAAATTAAATGTGATATAGAAATTAGGGCTGTAAATCTGAAACAAGGAATTCCCCTCAGTATTGATTGCTGACATAACTCTACTTGCATTTATGACAGTGGAAATGCTCCCACTAATTTTGGTAATTTTCATCTAGGCTAAAAATGAACAATTTTCATAATTCCACCCTAACACACACTGCCTCACCAGCCTGTAGCTTATTGAGACTTCTATCCTCGCTTCAAAATCAGAGAGATCTTTGGAATCAAAAAGGGAGAAAGAAGTTTGTAAGTAGTAGTTTTCCTCAGGAAAAAACAGAATGGAAGTCTTTCTAGAAGTCTCTCAAACTTTCATATAGTCCAGCTATTCAAATTTTCCTTAATTACTACTTGTTAGAAAGTAAACATCATGGACAAAATAGATCTGACAAGATACAGATGATAGGATTAGAAGCTAAGTAGACAGGTGCTTGTAACACTGAAGTTAGAGATGCATATCAGGTATCAATCAGTGACAAGTTCTCTGTCAAAGCCAGACCAGGATTTCAGATAGCCCACATGAGCTCAAACTATCCGAAGCAGCATTATATCCAAGTAGGCACAGGAGAAAATGGATTGTTGGGTGATTCAGCAAGAAGACAAGCAGCAGACTAGTTTATATTTACCTAGTTTACTTCATTGGTGTTCTGGTTCTGACATAAGGGCTTCCAATAGAGCAATCTGAAAATTTCAGACTATGATTCACCTACGTGTCCTGACATGTCTCCTTCTCTGCTCTGCTCCATTAGTTATATTCTTGTTTCAAAAAGCTCTTATTGTCTTATACTCAAAGATCTCTTCCTCCAAGCCCAGGGGCAGTGCATCCCAACAGAGGAAGGCAGGCAAAAACAGCAGGAGGCCTGCATGGATGGACAGGAAGCTTCTGAACAAACTTAAGATCAAGAAAGAAGCCTACAGAGGGTGGAAGGAAGGACAGGTAATGTGGGATGAATACAGAGAAATTGCCCGAGAAG